GGTTCCACTAACCATAACCCTAGTAGCAGCAAATACATGGGGGTTACCATCTAAACTATTGGTTCTCGGCTTGTTTGCTTCAAGACCCAGATTTTTTGACAAGACGCAGGGCCTTTGACAAATGGAACAAAACATATAGGAACTGTTATTTTGCTATCCTACACTCTCAGAAAAAAATTTGCAAAACTTGTACCTTTTGACGTACAACAGATTGTCACTGGGGCAGTACCCTTAAAAAGACAAATGTTTACTTTATTTACCCTTAAAAGGGTTTTAGTACCTTAAGGGTACATATTGCTATATAAGATACAAATGCACCTTTTAGGGGTAGATAAGGTACAATGTTGTACCTTAATGTGGAAGTGAAGCAGTCAGTCAAGTTTACATTATTTAGTAAACTGATTTCCACTTTAATTAAAAAAGATATAACGGACACATTTAATGTAACCATTTTAAAGAAAAAAGGATGTTTTGTTATCGCTTTTGGAGCAAGGACGCCGCCATCTTGCAGTACCACAGCGTGTGACGTCACGGGGTTGGTTCGCTCCATTGGCCAGTGAAGTAATATAAGCATTTCTAACTTTCTTCTTCACAAAGTTGTACCTTAAGGGTGCTTATTACTACCTAAGGTGTTAAAATGTGCCTTTTAGGATTGAAAAAGGAACAAAGCTGTACCTTAAGGGTGCATATTACTACTTAAAGTACTAATATGTGCCTTTTAGGGGTAAATAAGGTACAAAGTTGTCCTTTTAAGGTTACTGCCCCAGTGACGAGCATTGTTTCGTCCGCTTCTCTCCACGATCCTGTCAGAGCATACATGTGAACCTGTTTTGTACCACTACCCACCGGTTGAGAACCACTGATCATTCATTATTCAGCCCCACTGAGCTTGGAGAATCGTGTCTTTGTTAAACTCAGGGAACAAGTGTCTTTGTTAAACAGGGAACGTGCACTTCCATGACTCCGTTGCACAGTATGTGTGTATGTGCTGGTGTGTGCGGGACTATAGTGACACCCTGGAGATATAATTCACTAATCATGTCTACTGAACATACATCACGCCTTCTTTACAACAGTTGTCTGTCATGTCAGCCAACAATCAATAAATGCATTTAATAGATGTACAATAGTGTCTGAAGCCGTTTTTCTTTATGAACAGCAGCGTTAGGTCATCTGAGTTCCTCCTCTGGCGTCCTGTCAACTCAATCCCTGAGTGGTGGTAGCCAGTCTCTGAAACTAGACTTGTATAACTTCCTAGCAAATTCACGGCACAGTTAGACTCGTCTCTCTGCTAGTGTGCAAAATCCAAGAAGGGAGAGGGCATCAGATTATCCTTGGTACCTTTTACAGACCTGTTTCTGCATACATTCCAGCCTTTTAACTTGATCAGTAGTCAACAAACCGTGCCAAATAGGAACCGTGTACTCTAACACAGGGAGCACATACCCTGTATAGATGATAACCAGTTCTTGATCTCGAACACCGAATTCCTTTAGCCGGCACAGAGCAAAAAGCTTTATGTTGGTTGAGGACAACATGTGATCCAATTGACCATCCCATTTCAAATCATCTAAAACTTTAAGAGTCACAGATTTTCAAAGTGTCCTGATCTATAAAAGGTAATGGCCAAGCTGGTGTCTATTTCATGCGGGTGTCATGTAAAACTAGAAAGATTATGGGCCCCAGTATGGTTCCCTGAGCAACTCCACATGAGGGATATTCTTCCCAATCAGATAGATATCCCTGATAACGCACTCTTTGATGGTGATTAGACATCAAATTACAAATCCATGGAATGAGGCTTGGTCTCACTCCAAGAGGAGGCACTGAACAGCTAGTGTATGGTCTACTGTAGAGCATTGAAAGCCTTGGCAAAGTCAGTTTATTAGTCTGATTAATGTGCACACTGGGCCGGGAGATTTGTGACAGTTAAAGGATTAGTTCACTTCCAGAATAAAAATCTCCTAATGATATACTCACCCCCATGTCATCCAAGATGTTCATGTCTTTCTGTCTTCAGTTGCACAACGAGCATTTGTGGTTAAAAATTATATAAATGCTTTGTTTGTTTGTTTTTCTCGGCTGGGATCGTGTCGAGCCCTTTGAAGCTGCACTGAAGCTGCAGGACCTTCAACTCGTTGATCCCCATTGAAGTCCATTATATGGAGATAAATCCTAGAATGTTTTTCTCAAAAACCTTAATTTCTTTGCGAATAATGACAGAAAGACATGAACATCTCGGATGACATGGGGGTGAGAGTAAATGATCAGGACATTTTTATTCTGGAAGTGAACTAATCCTTCAATTGAGGACAATCTTCTATACACATCCCATTCTGAGATAGTAGGCAAAGGTAGAGATGGGAGGTGAGAAGATACATCTGCACATTTAAGGGTCGGGAAAGATTGGGACACCTTGACTGACTTTGTGTTGATTACATTAGTCACAAAATCTTGTGGATCAATTCCCGGAACCTCAATTCAATCCACCTTTTTCACAGATTTGCAGATTGATTTAATCCTGCCAAGCCCTCAGATTCCCTTTATTTTTTTTGTCACATGTATTTCCCTTTAGATTTTTTTTCTGTAGAACTTTGATAGAGCACTTGATTTCCCAGCTTTGAAGGCTTTTTGTCTCGGGTAGATTAAACGCTTAATCTTAGGAGAGATCCATGGTTTATCCGAGGGATACGCTTTTACTGTCTTCGTGGGAAAATGTTTGTCAATTTCAGGCAAGATAGTATTATAAAAATCATTAGCTTTTTCATTGGCACCAGTTGCTTCATTTTAGTGCTGTATATACCGGTTCATACCGAATAACGGTGTTTATTTTTGTTATGATATGAATTTTTAAAATACCGCAATACCGGTGTATGTCGCTTAAACAACGTTGGGAACGCGACACTGTTTGAAAGGGGTCTCTTTTCACTGTTGCACTGCGGTGAGGGAACAGCTGTATGTGTTACTAAGCGTGAAAGTTCTGAAACTGAAGCTGTAGAACTAATAGAACGTGATGACGCAGAAGAACTCATCCACAATATCCACACTGACCTCCACAAATATCCAGCACCCGCTGCCATCAGCTCCCGCGTCTCACACACACGAGCGCGACTTTAGCACTAGATTTAGCAACTTTCAGACCCTTTTAGCGGCTTTTTCCAGAGAATATTTATACTGACAAACCTAGCGACTACTTTGGATAAAGCTTAGCTATGGCTCAGTTGGAAGATTTCTCCAGTGCTGTCCCACGAGCGCGAGGTCTGGCTTTCCCGGAGAAGTGTCGCCTCTCTCGGCGTCTGTTCTGTGCAGTGAGCAGTGAGAGTACAACACAGCGTTTCCTAGCACCTGTCGCTTACTGATTGTTAGGAATTATAAATATGAGCGTAGTTCGTCTGTTAATATCACATGCACTTTTTTGTTTGTTGTTTTTAGTTTGTTACTCAGACGCAGACAGTGCGCTGCATGAGACAAAAAAGTAATCTAGCCAAAACAACCGCATAGCCGCTCTTTAGTGTAGATGCATGCTGATTTTATCAGATGATGCCGTGATTATAAATGAGAGTGACTCCTGGTTAACACGTATTAAAAGGGGTTGTGTTTAGTCACTATGTAGTGTGGTATTTTTGACAATATTCACTCATCATGACAGTAAAATAGGGCATTCTAAGGCAATATAATGCAGTATTTCCTCTCAATCAGTAGAAAATATGATTAACACCCGGTCATGCATGAAAAAAATACCGTCATGTACCGCGAAACCGGTATCATTTTGAAAAATACCGTGACATAAATTTTTGATCATACCGCCCAGCACTTCATTTACGAGTGAGTAGTAATCCATCTACCAAACTCATTCAGACTAGACTCTGTCATAGGTCGAATTTCTTGCTTAATGCACTTAGGTGGTCTTGCTTGAGCTTTAGCACTCCACAGGACATTATTATGATCCGATGAACTAACGGGGGAGAATTTCAGGTTTCTTGTTTCATTTCAGTGATAATTGTGTCGAGAATCGGTTCACCTCTATTGTTGTTATGGACTACTTGGCAGAGTTTAATTCAAACAGATGTCCTGGACTCTGAAATCTTGGAGTATGATGATGCCAATGCATAAGTACTTGGTATGAAGCAGGTCAGATGAGGCTATTAAATTCTCAATGAGTTCGTCGGGAACACTAATACAGGTTAAAGGATAAGATGGGACACTTTTGATGTACAATGCAACATTTCAGTGTATCCATCAATACCCAATAGATCCTCAGGCATGTTGGGGGTAAACCAAGTCTTGGAAATTGCAGCTACGTCCACATGGTTTTCCATCAAAATGGCTTGAAATTCATCAATCTTGTTTACAAGACATCTGGGGTTCGTCATCAAAAGAGTTGGTAACATAGCATAATTAGATGGCCTTTTTTTTTTCTTCGCTCTACTTGGACTTTAATCAAACCGGATTCAGGTTTGTCCCCGTTTCTCAGTCCAAACAAGTGTGATGTTTTGTGTACAAATCTGCCAACAACAGTCATCATTTTACAGAAAGTGTTCTTATGTTTAAACTGATTGATTGAATGAATGAACTCTATCTCACGCACACACGTGCGCACACCGCAAGAACTCTATAACATACTGAACACAACAGTTCTGACTCTCTCTGCATCCTCTTTTCCTTCATTATATAAGATCTTTCTTAGCCAAGGGCTTGGTGGAGGAGCTGATTGCTCGAGACTCTTCCGGAAAGTCCATAGAATACTTCAATATAGGTTATTTTTTTCCACCATTTTCAAAAGGAATGGTTCCAGCTTAGTACATAAGAAAACAGCTTCAGAATGCAAAATGAATGTAATTGATGTTACAGATCTATTTTTTGGTTTAGTAATGTTGGAATAAAAAAATAAAGAAGGGTGTTAATGGACTGTATAAGGCCCCAGAACTCACTATAAAATAAGTGCACGATTGTGCCATAATTATATTATATTATATTATATTCTGACTCTGTGCACAGAGATGGTGGAGAGCATTCTCTCTACAGAGATGACGTCTGTGACCACAGCTGCCCAGATGCTGCTGGACCAGATGTATTATCTAGAGGAAGTGGGCTGGTTTCAGGCCTTTCTGGACATCCTGCTCGCCTCAGGTGAGTTCAGTAACCTCCACTTCTCATCGTGCGCCACCATGCAGAGCTCACGAATGCCTTGAGATCATGGCAGATGCTGAGGATGTGTGTGTGCTGATGTGCTGTAGAGTACACCGGACTGCACGAAGCCATTAAAGAGTGGAACTTCCAGGAGTTAGAGGAGCTGAACGATCACAGGAGATTTCTCGAGAGGATCGAACCGTCAATCACCAAGCACATGAAGCCCAGTGAGCTGCTCGCGCACATGAGCGGCTGTCTGAAGCCCAGAGAGTGTGAGGAGATCCGGGCGGTGAGTCTCCTGTTAAACGTGCTCTACAGAAGTGCACAAGCTCGTGATGCATGCATGCATGTATGTGTGTATGTGTGTATGCATGTTTCTGGCCTCACACGTGTGTGCTGTATGTGTGTGTTACAGGAGGAGAGTCAGCGCGGCCATATAGCAGCCAGTGAAAAGCTTGTGACGAGTCTCCTGCGCTCAGACAAACCCAACTGGTTTAAACTGCTGAAGATTGCACTGGAGAACTGTGACTTAGACGAGGCTCTAAACATGCTGGAGACAAGTAACACTTCATCTGACTGACTGTCTGCATCTATCTATCTATCTATCTATCTGTCTATCTATCTATCTGTCTATCTATATGTCTGTCTGTCTGTCTGTTCATCCTTCGTCTCCCCAACATCATCATCATCCTGCATCCTTATATTGTTATAATCCTCACAGGTGTTTCAGTAATGATGGGACGATGAGTTCCTTCTGCCTCCTGATCATGTTGTTCGTCCTGCAGATGGAGAAGCTACGGCCGCGAAGGCCAGCAACTGGGACGGAGAGCCGGAAGCCATGATGACGACCGTGTCTTTCGAGTTCAGAGAGGAGCCCGAGCCTGAAGACATGCTGATGAGCAGCAACAACACGAGCGTCACAGAGGAACCTGGCGGGTTCACAGGTGCACAGCCCAACATCAGCACGATAACGTCACCTGAGAGCGCTTGTGTTTGCCGAAATGTGACCTTTGACCTCTGCACAGGGAAACCTGAGCGATCAGGTGAGCGGAAGCTGAGAGAATATCAGAAGGAGCTGACCGCCGCTGCCGTCAAGGGCCAGAACACCGTCATCTGCGCTCCGACAGGTGCCTTAAATCAACATTTGCCCCATGTATTTTCTAAATGCATGTTATTGATATTATTGTAATTAATTGATCCATAAATATCTTATTTTTAATTTAGTTTTTCCCCTAATACTTAATCAAAAATTCATAACCAGAGCTTTTTTGAAAACTATTTTTGTTGCTATTTTATTGTTTTCCCCAAAAATTTCTAATGAAAAACAACTACTATTTTCTTAGTTTTTATTATAGAAAGTGTGTGTGTGTTACAGCTGTGAATGTGAATTTGAAATTTGCAAAATCAGAATGATTTGATTCAATCCAATTTCCGGTGAGATTTAATTTGATTTCAATGAATGATTCGTTTCTGTATTTTTCAAGTGCATTCATAGGATTATGTGAATGCTTCTCCTATGACTGAGAAAAAGATAAAGACAAACTACTAAAGATTCTTTTTATAATTTAGTAATTTGTGCATTTAGGTAATTTAATGTTTAGGGTTAATTTTAAAATATTGAATCATACTTCACAGAATCACGGTTTATTAAACGTTTAGCATTACAAATAGACTCTTGACCAAAACAAATGAATCTCAATTTAAAAAAGCCATGTTTCAAGATCGACACACGTGCATTAACAGGATTTGTAATCGATGCATGTGAAAACGAGTAATTTGTTACACCTCTATGTAAAATATTTAAAAAATCCAATCAACAACCGATGGATAAAACCATTAATGTATTTGTCAATTTATTGTCTTTTACAGTAATCTGTTACACGCAGATGTGCATCACAGTATGGAAGTAATTTTCAGTCTTAAGAATCCGGTTATGATTTTTTTGATTAAGAGTAAAGAAAAAAACATTAAGTAAAAAATGACACATGCATGGATGAAAAAAGCACCTCGTGACTTGTGTTGCCTTTCTAACTGTCCTGTCCACTTAACTTTCCCTCAGGATGTGGAAAAACTATTGTGGCCTTGGCCATCAGTGATTATCACCTGAAGCAGTTTCCCGAAAGAGCAAAGATCGTGTTTTTGGCAACCAAGGTCGATGTCTATGAACAGCAGTACAAACTTTTCAAGGAGCACTTTTTCAGCAAGGATCCCAACATCAGGCACGATCCCTCACACACACACACACACACACACACACG